TATCAAAATCCAAGATGGCTGCCTGTCGGCCATGTTGTTTATCCGATCAGTCTCAAAAGTTGCCCTGCACAGCTAAGGACCAAGGGGAGCCTGCATATAAAATTTGAGAAAGATTCCTTTGGTACTTCTTGAGAAATACTGATAACAAGAATTGTTTATGTACGGACGACGGACGGACCACGGACCACGGACGCAGGGTGATTTGAATAGCCCACCATCAGATGATGGTGGGCTAATAAAAATGTATAGGCAATTAAATCCATTTTTCCATCATGAAGAAGGAAATTTAAAACGATATAACATCAGAACATAAAAAAGTTGTGTGTGCCAGTAGCACCTATTTTTTGACATCTCAGAATCTAGTCATTGTAACATAAGGCACAAGCATTGGGTTACAGCGTAGGATGGGTTTAATGTCCACTGTGAGGAGTGGGGAGACTTGTCAATGGTACATGGAGGTTGTCAGCTTCCACATAAGCTGTAGTGTAAGATTTCCCATATGCATTCCATGCAATTGCTTTAAAATGGGAACCAAGATTAAGAAAGCAGCTCACGTCTTTCACTTTCACCCTGGCATCATAGTAGGGTCGCGCCTTCTCCACACAGGCTCCCAATTTTTTTGCAAGTGCGTTAAGTTTCTGTGTAGACTCGGACAGAGCCTGGCGAAAACCTGCCCGGCCATCCTGTAAAACACAATGAAATCATTTTAATATTGCGATATCTTCATAATAATAGAAATAATTTGCGGTTTTTATATACCGCTTTATCACAACCTAGTTCGTAGGTCATCTCAGTGCGGTTCACATATTATTATCCGTGGTTATATAGAGCCTTTATGAAACGTTCCCAATATTGTCTTACATAGCAAAAGAAACTAAACTGCAACATTTAAACTTTTTTTTACACAGAATGAACCTTGTTGAACATCCAAAAGAAGATCTTTTGACGGGTCAAGGACTGTTGGGACTGCAGTAGGTAAAGCACAATAGAGGATGTTTTACCATTACCTGTATTTCCGATTGTGTTCTTTATTTTATATTAGTTGTTTTCCCTTTTATTTCTCTATATTCAATATGAAATATTTGAAAGAGAAAGGTATTCTGTATGCTTTGAATATCTAAATTATCCCAAACGTAAAGTGTTGTGTTAAAATTACTTTAATATCTTGTTATATTATTATGATTTTAATTACCTAGCAAATTACAAGCCTGTCAAGTGGGTATATATGCATACAGTTTTTAATCTTTGTTTACATTGTATGTACAGTGTAATTATGTGTTGGTCGTAAGTATTTACACTTGTCACCCTCCTTTGTAAAGTTGGAATACATCAATATAAGACTCACATCGAGTTCCAACTCTAACTTGTTGATCTCCTCCGATGCCTTGTTAAGCTTCTCCAGCTCCACCTGTAAAACACAATAGGATGCTGTCAAATTTATTACAACTTTTTAATTTATTAAGAACATCCTATTTTGTTTTTATCATGCACTTACTTTCAATATTTAAACATTGAAATTGTGACGGCTAACTTGTACTTGATCCAACACCTTTTAACTTAGACTTCTAAGATAATCCAACATGAAGTTGTATTCTCGCAATTTGCAATCATAACCAACAAAATTGGCAAACTTGTAACCCTTTTAGGTAGGAGACATAGGTAGCTGACCAAATTGTACCTCGTATATATTCTATAACCATAGCATATGTGACCAGGTTGTTTCGTCGGCTTAACATTTAAATTTCATTTTTTTAAATAACATTTAAATTTCAGGGATATTTTATGAACCACAACAGAGTGGTACAATGAAATTTGAAATTTTATCAAAAAGGTTGAATAAGATTCAGCATTTTAAGTGTGGTTAATTATAGCCTGACAGTTTTTCCAAAATAGGCAAAATGGGTTTGCCATTTTGGTTGAAAGTTAGCCATCTACCAGACTTTTGTTTCATGACAATTCTACTAACACTTTCTCCACAAATTTAAATTTTCCAATAATTATTTTAATTCTCAAATATTAGTATCAAACTCTACAGTACCATTTGTTTTGATCTGCATTTGATTTCCCATTAAAATATAAGATTTAAAAAAACAACATTATTTGATATACTGATCAGGTCCAGTACACTCTGCCGATTAATATAATTTAAGCTATATAGCTGTAAAGACCTATAATAGCTCTATTGACCTATCTGAAATAGGTCTGTTGAGCTATTTTTAAGAGATTTTCTTTTTTAAAGAAAACGAAACAAAGTCGCTTTTAAAAGAAGATTGTATCATTAGGTTGATAACAAAAGACATTAAATATAAGTATTCTTTTTAAAAAATAATGATGTAAAAAAATCGGAAATTTTACATTTATGAAAAATGAAAATAAACATCTAACTGTATGCTCTTTGTAGTCAACATTACCATAAACCTTATTGTTTTATGCGACTTTGCTTTAATTTAATGAAATTTGAAATCTGAGAAAATATAGCTCAATACAGCTATAATTTATAGGTGTATATAGCTATATAGGTATTTATAGCTAAATATCAATCGGCCGAGTGTACTGGACCTGCTGATATAAGCAGTATTACGCAATAGATCATTGGTGTAAAAAAAAGGCTACTCCATTCCTTTTATTCAACTCCATTTCGCCACATGTCGGTCATTTATGATTACCATATCGTCTTTACTAACATGACGATGAAATAAAATGAAATAAATTTGAGAAAGCTTGATCTGTCTGACCAACACTTTGGTCTTTCGAATATGGTCTCGGATTTTGTGTGGGGCAACAAGATTTCAGAGAATGGCAGTACAAAGAAAAGCAAACACTACCTAACCCAGTGTCATTTTAGGTTTTACGAAGGGTTTCATACATTCAAAGTGGCAATACACGTCAAGTTTGAAATATAAATCAATAATAAATCTCCAGAATGGTATGTTTTTGTGTGTGTCGAGACCTCACAAACAGGCTATTGTTAAATATGTAAATGTAGATATTGAGACCAGAGTATTTCGGTTGCAGAAGGGTATACCTGAATTCTAGGATCGAGAGTTTCGTCATCTAAATCATCGATACAGGCAGGAGACAACCGACCTTCATAGTCGGCCATCTTGCCTGAAAATTTCGTTGTTGATTGCATTAATCTAGATCCGAAATCACTGTCAATATTTACAGCTTAATAGACAATATTAAACATCAATTATTCATACAACGTCTATTAATATTATTTTAACTACTAATTATATCAATTGTAGTTTAGTAAATGTCGAAATAGACATTTTTTCACTGATTTGGTTGTTGATTTGAGAGTGTTAATAAACTGTAGCCTAAACTACAGTCGTTGTTTAGTTGCCGATACCGATGAACTGGCGGCTACAGAAATGAAAGGCGTGAACATTTTCACGTTTTGTTTACACAACCCGGAAGTAAATACTTCACCTACTGAAGCTGTCGCGATAAGAAAGTAGAAGACTCACGAAAATCAAAACAGGCCGCTTACTCTTAAAAGGTAAGTGTTAGACATATTCTTAGGCAAGTATTCTTAAAAGATCGGAACATGTCATGTGTGAGAATTTCATTTTAATCGTAAATAATATCAATACGTTGTGTTGTAATGAGGCGTGCCACCGCTAATATAAGGCACTTGTCTATTGTAAACGGCAAGTGTTTTGCAGGATATTCTTATTTCATTGCCTACAGCTACATTACAATATAGTATTACCGTTGTATTTTCGTCATGATGCTTTCCAAATATATCGTTTTTGATAAGCGTGTGTGTCGCTAAGGTGTGAATAATGTAATGAAGAAACTTCCTTCAATTATGAATATTTAACGTTTTAGAGTATCCTGTTGAAGGTGAAGTATGTAGCTGTATCCTCGTGTTACCAGTTTCCGCTCACTTAAGAAACAACCGCGATTTCGTTCTCATATCGGCAGAAAACTGTTGAAATTACGGATGACTGTCATACACCTGTATACAATCTACTAATGGAAACTAAAAACTAGCAACATAAAACTGTATTTTAAAAACATCAGAACAAACAATTTTTAACAAATTTCAGTGTGTCTATTTTGATTTAGTATTTAAAGAAAGATAACTCGAATACACTAAAAATAAATTCCCCATAGTGGCCTGCAGTTCCAAAGCTTTAGTTTGGTGTTAAATCAAATATCTTTGATTGTCAAATTTATTATCAAAACAGATTTTTAAGGATTACACATTTATCATAGATTTTTTAATATGTCTACTTGAACGAATGCATGTAGTTTTATGAATTTGTTTATTTTACCTATTTAGTTATCTGTAATTGTTTTTTTGTGTGCAGTCGTATATCAGTTTTTGTTGATGGCGAGTTATTTTTCATTTTATTCTGTTTAAAATTGGTGAAAATTGGAATTTCATTGCAGTGCAAGGTTAACGTTTCAATGCAAACAGTATTTATCGATATAAGAATATCTCCTTGGTTCTTCGGAAGTGGGAAAAAATCAGCGAGGAGATGTTGTCTCAGTTGCATATGACATTTTCGTACGTTTGTCAGACTACAAAAAAGACAGGTTCATGAATGAAATATATCATCGTTTTTTAGGTATGGGTTCATTTTGAGCAAGATAAAAAGTGCATTAAGCAAAACTGCATATTTATGCTTGTTTTTTTTTAATCAGTGATTATTTCTTATGTTTTCCGGACAAACTTCTGGTAATTTTTGTGTCAGTTTACAGACGATGGCCAAACGTTTAAAATATCCTTGTGTTGTGTCTGGCATGTCACATAGTTACGAGATATTGCTTGATAAAATGGCTGCACGGAAATACCTAACGAGCGGAAACATATGACTAGACGATATAGACTCCATGCAGGGATGTATATTGGGGAATGGCAACCGAGCCTAGCAGATAATTATGTAACACGTAGCTTTTGTATTTGTTCATTGAACCATGATGTCATCATGTCCTCTATTGACAATTCTTTATATCAGCACCGCAGCACTATAATGTCGAATAGCATGCACCACCTTGCCCAGTGTCATCTCATTAAACTAAAAAATAAATAAATAACGTTTCTTGCATTTCTTTTATCTCACTGTTTATAACATATATTTGTTTTGAAAGATAAGTTAAAAAAAAATTGGTTAAAATGACATAAAAAAACCCATCCAATTTAAAGTGAAACAGTCTTGGAAAAAAAATGAAAAATAAAATACCAATATTTTCACATTCAACCATTCAAAAATGAATTCCACAAAATTTAACTAGAAGTCAATCATTCCCCTTGCTCTGAATTAAGGGAATTGTAATACACAAATGGTCATAGTTACCTAACAGAAAGACCAAGTGACCAATAAATTCTTTCCATATTTTAATCCAAGCAACAAAAAACAGCTAAAGACACGAAATATAAAAAAATATATAAAACAACTAAATTTGAAATTCGTACTACATAATATTCCATTGATAAAAAAAATAAGATTTTAATGATTTCACTGTTTTTTCGGTCATAATTATGATTTGATGGCTTGATTCAAAAGAGCAACTGAAAGATGTTGTAATATTCTTGTATATTATTATGGAAGAAAAAGCCTTGGTAAAATGAAAATATTTTTGAAAATCCCATACTTGACAAGTCACATGATAATAACACCAGTAAATGATGAGTGAGGTGTGAGGAATATTTGTAATAATTCAACAATTTTCCCCATCGTAAGAATTTTTAAAAAACTGTATATTTATTTTACAACACACATGAAAAAAGTTACTGCATTTTTTTTCGTTGATAAATTTTGTTGGCCTTGATAGAAGCGTGCAGTTGGTGTTCACGTGGGAGCATGAGGTAACAAGAGTACCTGGTGAAAACTGCATAGTCGTGCTGGTGACCAAATACCTTTTCATGTCCGATCGGAGAATTGATTTCCCCGTTATCACAAAGCAATGCATCTTTCTGAATAAATGCATTGGTCACTGCTTCAATAATTAATATTCCATGGTAGTTTTGTGTTTTGTTCAATACACTTCCTGTACAGTACAAATTTTGTGACGGAACTTGTGAAAATTCACAAAACCAAGCAGACAACTCATAGAAATTATAAAAACTGGAACAGAAGGGTTCCTGAACTTTATGATAAGAATTATAGTTATGTTTCTAAAATCCCTTAACCCTTTCACCACTGTAGACCATAATGGACTCATCTAGATCAATGCATAGGAGAGTCTACTAAAGTTGCATAGGGGTGATAGGGTTAAGGTAACCATTATTATAAAATATAAACTTTATTTATTTTACAACAATTATGAAACAAGTTATTTCAACTTATATTAATCACTCTTGTTGGTCCGGATGTTAGCGCGTGGGTTGGGGGGTGGGGGGGTGGGGGGTGTCTTAAAGGTAACCATTATTACAGCAGGCCCCCTTTTTACTTCAAATACGGTATTCTAAATTAAAAAATTCATTGACACACTTTCACTAAATATTTTATTTACTTCGCTCTACTCTAATCAATATTGCTGTGTTTACATTCTATACATTGAATCTGTAACACACAATCATATCAGTACATTGATTATAAGTTTAATTTAAATATAACCATATTATCAACTAGATTTGATTGGTTATTATAACAGCGCCGGATGTTAATTGTCAATTTATCATGTACGAGATAACAAGTGATATATAATACATAAACACAGGCATTTTCCTGGGTCCTTTATTACAGATGGGGTCTGAAAAATGAACCTTTTCTTTTATTAACTTTCCAATTTAATGATTTATTTTTGGAATCTAACATTGAGTGATTGTAGATCGGGCAATTTAAAAAAACTCAAAGAGAACCGGTACCATATTTGGCCTCCTACCATCCTCTAAATGACAAGCTTATTTATGTTATCTGCACCCTTGGATAATGTCATAACAATTAAAATCCAAGGCTCTGTATGTGCAGCCTTGTGGATGATACAAGTAGACTAGTTTAATCCTTTGATGTACATCAAAGAAATGTGGCAGCGAAAGGTAAAACTGTATAGCTTTGAAGTCTGGTGTCATTATATTACTCAGCTATCTGGAAGGATAGGTATCAGCATCAGCCAATAATTGGTCAGTTTTTTTGCCTGAAACAAATTAAATAGCTAAAAGTATGCTTTTTATACGCCCGTCAAATTTGACGGAAGTATTATGGTATGGGGTTGTCCGCCCATCCGTCCAAACTTTTGTTTGTCAAGCAAAGAATTTTGATTCGACAATTTTTCCAAAAGTTATTGCCCTTTGTTCATTTCAGTATTTGATTTTTTGTCCGGAGATCTCCTCCTTCATTTTTTGACGGATTTCTTTGAAACTTCATAGGCTAAATAATCATGATATGTTTTTTTGTGTTTCCTTGAAAAGAATTTTGATTGGACAATTTTTTCAAAAGTTATTGCCCTTTGTTTATTTCAGTATTTGACTTTTGTCCGGCAATCTCCTCCTACATGTTTCGACCGATCTCTTTGAAACTTGGTATACATTATAATCATGATATAAAGTTGTATCTCCCTTAAAAGATTTTTTTCTCAACAATTTTTCCAAAACTTATTGCCCTTTGTTCATTTCAGTATTTGGTTTTTTGTCTGAGATTTTCTTCTTCATTTTTTATAGCATGTCAGCTAACCACTCTTAGAATGATTGCAGATCTTATTTCAATGTAAGAAAGTATATAACACTTTAATATGGCATTCGACGAACATATATTGATTCGCCCCACGGTACTCTTGTTGATTTTGTCATGACACATTTCAGGGTGAAAAGAGAGCGTAAACCCTGGAATTTCACTTCATATGAAAATACACAGGACACATTATGGTATGGTCCCCAATAAAGAAGAAAACTATCCAAATTAAATTTGTGTAGCATTTTTTGACTTGGAGGAACTTTTTGCCAATTTAATTTACTACCATATCAATGTGATATATATACAAAAGAAATACACCTATTTATAATTTATTATAATTTCCTTAGTAACTCGTTCACCCCTGAAGACACATTTAAACTCTTCCAATACAAAGGTTGGAATAGTTCATTATGAAATTTCAGGGGTGAATGAGTCAACAGAATCCTTTCTTGGATCACCAGACTTCATTTTTATAAAACAGGAAAC